ATATATATGTCTGTATATTAATGGGAAATATATATAAAGAAAATATAAAGAAAACTAATCATATAAAAAAGAAAAATTTTACATTACATAATATAAAATTATTGCTCTTGTTATGTAACTTATGTATCAAACTATACACAACTGAAACCAGAAGTTTACATACACAATATAAAAAAGACACATATGCATTTTTACACGCTGTCTGACATGAAATCAGAATAAACATTTCCTGTTTTAGGTCAGTTAGGATTGCCAAACATTTTTCTATTGACAAAATGCCAGAATATACAGATATAATTATTTTATTACTTTCATCAAAGCCAAAATTTTAAATACACCGAGGTTACTATCCCTTTAAACAATCTGGGACATTTGATGCCATGTCTTTAGAAGTTTCTGATAGGTTTATTGATAATATGTGAGTTAATTAGAGACACCTGTGGATGTAGTTTAGGCACACCTGAAACACAGTGTCTTTGTGTAACATTGTGTGAAAGGTGAAAGAAATCAGTCAACATGTTCGGAGGAGAAATGTGGACCTGCACTAGTCTGCTTCACTCTGACTGCTTGTGTTGGTGATTTTAATTGTAATTTGTCTCAAATATTAAAATAACAGGTAAAAATTTTTTTTAAAACGTTCACATGCAGACATTCCTCTTTGACATCACTTCCTGTTGCTTCACATGCCAATATCTCAACAACGGTTTGTCAGAGCATCGTGAAACTCATTTCATAATATGTCAATAATGTTGTATTTCCAAAAATGTATTCAAATTTCTTACAAAAAAGTTGATGTCACAGACACTTTAAGGTTTCATTTACAGCAGATTAGGGTTAAGACCCCACTGTGGGTCCTAAAGCTCCAGATTTTGGGTCGTTAGAGGATTTACAGGAATTAAATTAAGTTTAAAACTGACCGCTAAGAGTGTTTTTGCTATATTTGACAAAAAAGGCAGTTCGGCATGGTTAAAAACAATTGGTTTATTAGGAATATTTGAATACTTCAACCAAAAATACTTTGATTCACGAGTTTCTTCCAGTTTTTATTTTTTGTCCTTTGTGTTTATTGTGAAATCGGTCTTAAATTCAACTTAATTTGGCATTAAAAAGTCTTAAATTTGACTTGCCTTAAACTGTAGGAACCCTGTTGTAATCATGGCTTTGTGGTTTCAAAACACATAGTGTTTGAATGGGACAAGAAAATTAGATTTAAAACAAGAGAAAATGCGTCTCCTACCAGCAATGTGGGCAATGGCATTGATGATGTCATCAAACACTGTGAATGAAAGAGGTAAATTGTGTCATTATGAGTAATATATAACCAATAATCTATACAAGGGACTTCTTCTGAATGATAAACATTTACCTTTGCCTGAAATGTCAAACACAGAAGTGTCCTTTCCTCTGTCATCACTGAGAACAGCCTTGTAAACACCTTGATCTTTCCTAGAGAACTAAATAAACATATAGCAATAAGCAGAAGTACCATGTTAGTTTACATTCAATACATCAAGCAGATGAATTGCAATAATTAAAATTTTACATTCAATTCTGGTTATTATATTTAATTGATATTTGTACCAGAGGGAGAGGAAGAGCACAAGCTCCAGACACAACGTTGGGTGGAGTCTCCGGAACAATCTCCTCATCCTCTTTGTACCAATGGAAAGCACTTTCCTTCTTCACGTTAGCCACCTAACAAGCACAAAGGACCGAAATGATTCATTTGGACAACCAACTTAAAAGGGATGAAAAGGATGAAAATAAAAAACTTAAACACCATTAACATGTGTACAAACTGTCTTTAAGGATGTGATTTTGTTACCTTGCAGGCAAGCGTAACAGTACAATCCTCTGTGACTTTGAAATACAGGTACTCAGAGAAATGTGGACCTACAATGATGAAAGGCAAATAGATTTCAGTTTTAGGAAGGCAAAACTTCAGTAAAAGCTAACACAAAGCACACCACAATTTTTCAGTATGCAGTTGGATGTGTATCGACCTGTACAACAAAGAAACTGAACATGAGATCTGTTGAATTTTTGAGTATTTTTGTACCCTGTTTTCTTGTGTGTTCTTTTCTCTGAAACTCAGCCTCTTTCAAAGCAGCCTTGAACACTGTACACAAAGTAAAGGGAAAAAAGACAAAGTTATTATTGCACCCACTTCGGATGTTATCATCCATGAAATGGTTATTAGTTGTTATCAGTCCCATAGAATGGCTTCAGAAGGTCCCACCTGTACCGGTTAGCAGGTTCCCCCATCCCGTAGAATGGCTTCTGATTGTCAGCTGGTTAGTATGAGGCATAAAACAAACTGGTTAATATGAGGCTTAAATCCACTAAGGTTAATTTTAGAGCAGATGACATGGTTAGCGCTAAAGACACCGCCCTTCAACAGTTGTATGTTGTGGCCTTCCAATAGGGCAATGGGTAGAATGTCGAACCAGAGCGGTAGACCAGGGTACAGGACCGACATGGACACAAAAAATTTTACTAAAATATGTTTTGGTTATTTACACATTCATTGTCGTTGATATATTAACCCACTAGGGGGCACTGTCGGGACAGTCTGAAGCCTAGAAGGTACAGTAGGGACCCTCTGAAGCCATTGTATGGGACTGATAACACCTACTAACGTCCATTTCATGGACTGATAACATCAGAATCCCCTGATTATTTAAAAAAATGTAATTCTGAACCCACCATCAAAAATTAGAAATATACATTAAAATTTTCACACAACATATGGCAACATGAACAAGCAGGGGACCGATACACAACTTATAATTCATCAGTTGACTTGTATGTAAAGGTTAAACAGCGTTACCATCTCCCACCAGGACCAGTGAGCTCTGGGTTTTGGCCTTGCCATCATGGATCTGGACTGTGTATGTGCCCTCGTTGGCTCTGGTGAAATGGTCCACCGTCATCTGGATGACACCAGAAGCCACGTCGTGGCTGATCTTCTGACCCTGAAAGAAAAAGAAGTGGAGAAATTTTACTCACAGTATACATCTGTCAATATTTTCTCATCTTGTTGCTGTTAGTCCACTGGCTTTAGGTGTTGAAGGTTTGATGAACTTCAGCTTTCAGTCTGCTGTAAAATGTGCCAGAGAGTGGTGCAGATCAGGTTTTGCATATTGCATAACAGTGACTTAAAGACCAATCTGGTCAGGATAAATAAATTTACCTACAAATAGATCTATAAGTTACATTTGATACATGGAATGATAAAATGAAAACATATCCCTGAATAAATATTGTTTTGTGGTTCGATTTGAAAAGAAATCACCAACATCTGATTAATATCTAATATGGAGTACTGACTGATTAAATGAAGGTGGCATTTTTAGTTTTGTGCCATTTGACAATATGTTTATTTAAATTCTTACAGTATCCGGTAAAATTTGTCTTACTTTTAGGTTTGAGTTAATTACAGTATTTATTATTGATAACGCACTACAGTTACATCCCTAGTACATTTATTTTAACAGACACACAACGAGCAAAACCTCCTCTCAAGTCTCCAAAAGTCCAAACACATTTTCTACTTTACACACATTTTGTTATTGAAAATGGCACATTTTAAATGAACTAAAGACAGCTCTCTGCATAAGACACAACAATCTAATATATCGAACTATTCCAGTATTATGGCAAGCAAACTACAGATGAGAGTGCTTTACATTATGCCCAACAGTGTGTAGTTGGTTAGACACAATCTGGGAATATGCATGTGTGTGCCTCTTGGTGCAAAAGTTTGATTTTGACAATGCTATTTGTAGTTGTGGTTGCAGTGCTTGATTTTGCAGGCTACAGGAGGTATTTTGCAGTTTGGGTGTGTGCTTTTGTGAATTGTGTTTAGTTTTTTGATAAAACCACACTAGTTTGCAAAACTGTTTCAGCAATTGTAAAAAAAACCTGTAAAGTTCTTTTGTAGAATATTTCCATTATAATGAAAAGTGAATGAAAATCTGTGACTGACTAGTTGTCTTTTATCCTGCATGTTTAATCTGTGGCCTCTATTTTTTATTTTTTATATTTGTATGCGAAGCGTAATTGCAGGAACTGCCAGTAATGGGGATCCAAACAAAAGAAAGAGTTCAGCAGTAAAAAGTTTGGGCAGTTAAACTACATTTTTTGGAAACCCTCAGTTTAGTTAATCTATCATTATTTTGAATAAGCAGATATACCAGAAAACATTCATAGTGATCAATAGTTTAACTTCAAACAGAGATTATTGGTATTATACCTCCCCACTGGTGACTTCTTTGTCGTTAACAATGAACCTGTAGGACACTGATGGAGACAGTTTGACAGCCTGCACCCAGAAACGAACATGACCTTTCTCCAAAATCTCGTAGTTCAGACTGTGTTTCAGGGGAACAACTGCACAAAGACACACAACAGTTTTAATGTTCGATCATTAAAAGAAACGATGCTGAGGCACGAATCCAAACTCACCTGGATGTTTGATGGAGTAGCTGAGCTCAAGCATTGTGTTTAAGGCTGCAGAACAATAAACATGAACAGCAAACACCATAAAATAAACAACAGTAATATTTAAGGCTTTAAGATTGGGAATTATATTAAAAACAACTGTGTTTAAAGTTTTTAAAGTTAGTTTTACCATCTTCAGTTAGAGTATAGCTGGAAGAAACTCCATCCGTGTCAGTGACGACCACAGAATATCTGCCCAAATCCTCCTTATCAGGGTTGGTGAAAGTCAGTCTGGAGCTGTGAAAAACACAACTATTAACCTTACTAATATCAAATGTCACAGTTCTGCTTCATTTCTGCTTATAATTTCTAAACATATCACATTTCAAACTAAAATTATCATTTAACTGTTGTATTCAAAAACATAAAGCTTCTCGTCACACTGAAAGTGTTAGAATTCAGAGGTGACAGACAAAAAGATGTGGTAATTAGAATTTAATTCTATTTAAAATACAGTCTAAAGCAATGGTTACCAAACATTTTAACTTTTATCTTACAAATTGATAGTGGCAATGTTACTAATAACCATAATAACAACACAAACAGTCTTAACAGCCAAAAACCATTTTCAAATTCATTTTTCACTAGTATTTTTGTTCCTTGTAACAAGAAAATATGCCTTTATCAACCATTGTTCCATGCAAGTGGATATCTGTATTATGTTTAAGGACTCCATGTGTGCTACATGACCCATACTAGGGTCATGTAAACTTCTAAAATGCATCATCTCAGAGTGAAAGTTCCCTTACCTTTTAAAATCTGAAACAACTTTACTTAAAGGGATCCACGATTAGTTGTAACATTAGACTTTATTTGATAAACATATATTTTAACTATAAAATAAAGACTAAAAATACTGTAGTTTTGTAAATTTTTAAAAATATAGTACACGGACGGAGCCATTTTATTTGCACACAAAGCATTCTGGGTAAATGATGACGTGGATAGGTCCTCGGTGCGAGGCTGCTAGCGAGCTATAT